CTGGCACAGGGGGGCAGGGTGTCCCAGGACTCCCCTCACGGGTAGGGGCTGGCAGCGTCTCCTACCTGAGGATCCTGGGAAGGGGGAAAAGAAGTGGCCTCCTCCATGGTGCCGGGGGCCAGGTCCTCGCAGGTCAGAGAAGGGCAGCATCTCATCTGCAAGGCAGGGCCCTCCCATCCGTACTGCCTTTGCCGCTTGGCGAGGCCGTGGGGCCCACCCTCTGTCCCTGAGCCTGGCAGCTGCCCCAGGGCCAGAAAGGTGCCCCCACCCCGCACACACCAAAGAATTCAGCGAAGGGGTCTCGCCCGCCGAAGAACTCCCGGAAGACGTCGTGAGCGCTGCGGAAGGTGAAGGTGAATCCAGGGGCCCCGGCCTCGGCCCTGGAGCCCCCTGGTCCTGCCAAGGGAAGAGGCTCACAGTTAAGCGGAGCCCTGGGGGGTGCAGACCCACACCAAGTCTTCAGACAGGGCTGTATCCAGAGCTGTACTAACCCTCCGCGGTCCTGCTCACCCACTCACCTGCCCCCATGAGTCCGTCCTTGCCATAACGGTCATAGACATCGCGCTTCTGCTCTGGAAGGAGAAAAACGGGGGCTGCGGGGAAGGCGGCTGCCAGGCACGAGCAGGAGCACTGGTGCTTCCCGTGGCCAAGGGAGGTGCAGAACATCAGGGAGCAAGAGAAGGGGAGGGGCATGAACCCCCCCCACCACACCAGCACTGCTCCCAAACCCAAGTCAGGGTATCGGGTGAGGACGTGCAAGCGTCAGCTCTGCTGGAGAGACCTCATCCCGGAGGCATCTCCCCCAAGAGCTGTTTTGGGGCATGTGTGGGGAAGCAATCAAGCTGCACAAGCCTGAATGTAAAGCTAGAGGGCTCTGCTGCCTCCCAGCGACATCCAGCGATGCCACCTGGGTGAGCCCAGCAGCAGAACACCCCAGGACAAGCTGCCCCAAGGGTCGGGAGGACACGCAAGGCAGCACCATCGCATCTTACTGTCTGACAGCACTTCGTACGCCTCGGCGATCTCCTTGAACCTCTGCTCAGCGTACTCCTTGTTGTCTGGGTTTTTATCTGGGTGCCATTTCAGCGCAGCTTTCCTGTACCTGCACAGACAGGTAGTGATGGGCAGGCAGCAAGCCCTCAGGCAGCAGGGGCTCCTGTGACAGGGCCCCCCCCTGCTGAGCACACGCCTCCAACCCTGCGGGCCGCGACACCCCAAGCCTGCTTCAACCCAGTGCCCTACAGCCTCAGGCATCAAACAGGAGCTTTCTGGACTGGTTCTGCCTCCCCAGCAAATATCTGCAGCATGACCCCAGCAGCGCAGCAATCCCAGCTGCCCTCGGCGCAGCTGTGGACGATGCTCGCAGGTTTGCTCTAGAGCCTTCCTGGACTTTGCTGTGGCTGTGCATGGACCAGAAGTCACTAGGGGGGACTCCAGGGGCCAGGTGAGCTCAAGTAGCCCTTTTCTCCTGCCTGCGGCTAGCTGGGGTTAACCCAAGCTGCCCAGATTCCCTCACTTACTCTTAGGAAGCCCCTCCAGCCAGGACCTCTGTCCCCTGCCTCTGGATCCCCTCCAGGCAAGGCAATAATCTGCACCTATTCCACCCCTCCCCGGTGATACCTCACCGGTGAAGAGCAGTGGGTGTCAGGCAGGAGCTCCACGAGTCTCCCCCCCCACCCAGTGCTCTGCT